TGGAGGGGAAACCCAAAGGGGTTCAGGAATCATAAGGGAATTACAAAATATGATTCATGCAGAGAGTAAAGAAATTTAACATGTACAGCCTAGAGGAATGATGAAAAGCGGATATAACTATCCAAACACTTAAGAGTTCTGAGATTTAAAGGGAGAACAGTTGTAACACTTAAAGAAGTGTCATGAAAATAAAACCAGAAAATTTAAAATAGAAAGCATTTTTAACTAAAGTTTAAGTCCTTGATTCTGCAGAGACTGAGGCTTGGTCTACACTACCCCCCTAATTCGAACTAAGGTACGCAACTTCAGCTACGTGAATAACGTAGCTGAAGTTGAAGTACCTTAGTTCGAACTTACCTTGGTCCACACTCGGCAGGCAGGCTCCCCCGTCGACTCCGCGGTACTCCTCTCGCCGAGCTGGAGTACCGCAGTCGACGGCGAGCACTTCCGGGTTCGACTTATCGCGTCCAGACTAGATGCAATAAGTCGAACCCAGAAGTTCGATTTCCAGCCGTCGAACTAGCGGGTAAGTGTAGCCAAGGCCTTACACACTCTAAGTAGTAGCACTGAAGTCACTCAGTGCTATACATACAGTGTATAAGCCTTATGCACACGTGTACATTTTTGCAAGAACAGGATGTAACAGAAAAACAAATTATTCTGTAGTATAATCTATAAAGGGATGGTGTTAGATCCCTAACATTAAGGGGATCATTTTCAAAAGGACCTTTACCAGCCCTCCACTTGTATCAGCATAAAACAACATGCAACCATACACATGCCCACCTTTAGCACACCTGCAGGCACTTGAAATAGTCTAAAACTTGGGTGCATACAGATGTTAGACAATTGGTTAAGTGTACACACTGGTATTTGCACCTCTTCAGGGTGTGAAAACTTTGCACATAAACATATTCAACCTGAAGTCTGAAAATGTATCCCTAAAGGTGTATCCAAGTTTTCTTTTGAAAACAGCTGAGATTAGTAGAGTGGAAAATCCACTATTCATGCAGAAGAATGGATTAGATGACCCAGGATTCCATTCCAATCCTCATCATCCAAAACTCTACAGTACTAAAAACAAATTACTTTGATGGAGAATGACGAATAATCTGTCATCATGAAGTTCTACAAGAATAACTGTGAAAAATGTTGGTTCAAGATACGTTGCCAAGGTCTTATGGTAGGAATAGTTTATCAGATGGTCTAGGTCTGGACAAACTTAAACAGACGAATTAGTGTCTATTCTGTTCCCAATTTTACTACTTCAAAAGAGTCAAAGCTGGATCTTTTTGGAGTATCTCTTATAAATTTGGGCTATGATAATTTCCCAATCCATGAAGCAGTCATTACACAATGGGAGAATTTATCATAGCCCAAATTTACTAGAGATACTTCAAAAAGATCCAGCTTTGAATTTTTAGAAGTAGTAAAGCTGGGAACAAAAGAAACACTAATTTAGCGAGGTCTGGACAAACCTGCCACTTTACTGCAGGTACTGCATCTTCAGATTATTGAGGAAGAGGATGTAAGTGAAAACAATGGTGAATGTATTTCCAGGAATTCTGATTTAAATTCTAAGTATTCACATGAGATTAATTTTGTATTTCTTTCCCCTTAGCTATTTTGATCATTAGCTGTGTGATTGAAGAAACTCAGGGCAGTTTAAACCAACATTTAGTAGTAAGAGAATCTGCCACTAAGATTGTGTTACAACTCTATGTAAACAGCGTTCTTCTTCTTTGAAGAATTTTATTTATAATTTTATCTCTATGTATATTTCTCTGGTGCTAATCTCTGCACAGTGCCTTTACAAACATCAATTAAGTCTCCCAACAGCTCACAATAGGCAAAGATTATCCTCTTTTTTACAGATGGAGAAGCTAAGGCTGAGAGGGTGCCAAAAGCTAAAGAGAAAGTTAGTGCTAGAGGTAAAATTAGAGCGCATTAGAACCTGGTTCCCATATTAGTTCTCAGACCAATCCACTCACTCTCTCGTGACTATTTGATCAAATAAACCAAAAAAGGCTCACATTTTCCATGCCAAAGCCAACATTCACACTCACGTCTATTACGCATCCTGTATTAACTTCCTATGGTAAAGTATGGCAAAACTGAAATGTTAGGGCACAGAACACAAAATACTAATGGCTGAAAAAGACTGAAGTTTAGTATCAGAATGGTCATTTGAAGAAAATGCCTCAATATTTTCAGAAAATGAGATGCCACCCAAATAGTTATAAAATTAATGAAGTGAAATGGAAATACAGGAAAGCAAATAAACCCCTTGAAAACAGCAGCCATGATGCAGCATGTCATCACATGACCTTTTCATTTAGCAGGTTTTAACCTTAACCTGAGTGATTATCAACTTAGTATTGTGTTGGCTCCTGCAAACACTGCAAGTTTCTAAGCCAGCTTTTGTTTTCAGTGTAACCTGCATAAATAATTCCCATTAACCTTACTGGGAACTTTGCGCATGTGGCCGGGGAAGTAAAGATGCCCCAAGTGTTTAAGTTCAAGAGAGCTTGTTTCCTGCATGTTCTAAAGAAGTGTCAACGTAAATTACTTGTGTGTACTTGTGTGTGTATGTGTGTGTGCATGCCTTGTACATTTATGAGTATCATGATAACTAAACAAACATGTTTAATGCATCAGTCCTACAGAAGATTTGCTGCAGGGAGGGTTTACGCTCCTCTCAGTAAGTAAGGAATGTCTAACTTAGCAGCACCAGTAATAGGACAAGTTAAAAAAACAAAAGTAAAACAAAAGAAAACCCACACCACACTTAACTCCAAGACTTACATAATTTAAAGCATTTTAAGATCCTATATTCCTTGCTACCAGAACCTTGATAGATCACAGAGTGCACGTGCAATCTGTTTTAAATATAGTTTAAATGTTGCATCTGAAAAGAAGGTATTTGCAAACAAAAAGACTATTTTTATTTCTATAGATATATTGTACTGTAAACAAATAAATCTCTGCCTTTGCTATCAGCAATTGCAGGCATCAGGAAACATCCTAAATGGTGAAGTGACCTGACCTAACCTAACATGAGGTGATGGATGCATTTTACTTTTTAAGTCAAAAGGGCACTTAGAGTTGATTTTTACAATGATGAAAAAGATAACATTTGCTCTGCTTTGTTTTCAGCTTCTTATCCTAAAAGTAAAATCTGATCTTTCCGAGTTGTTTACACACTTCTGCTCTCTGCTGTCGCCAGAAAGGCTTTCTCTAGCTTCCTGTTCATTTTCAGAGGAGTCATCTCTAAAGGCTATGATTGTGGTAAGGTTGGGAGACAGTGGAAGGAGGTAAAGGGCTGCAGATGTAAAATATATTGTATGCCACCACAGCATCACTGTGTCACCTAATACACCAAAGAACAGATAGATATGGACAAACTGTTTTGCTAAAATAAGCATGTTAGATGTGACATAAACAGCCTCTTTCTGCTAGACAGAAAACATTTTGATCTAAAAGTTAAATATTTATCTGCTATAATTGAGTCTATGAGATGTTACATGCCAAGTCCTGCAGCCTTTATATTCACATGACTTCTACTGAAGAGGTGTGCCTATGCAACAACTGCAGAATCAGGATAATCAAAAAACAAGCTTTTAAATTACAATATGGGCTACATGCCCATATAGTAAAACGTACAGCACCTGTATCTTTTTAGACATTTATACTGCACTCAGAGTAGTTTGTAAATACTTTATGAATTCTAAAAATGCTACACCAAAGCAGCTCTACTTTTCTTGCCCATCCCTAGCAGGACTGGTATTATATCTGTACTTGTTGCAGGATGGTTAGTCTGAAGCAAATCTCACATGTCTGGCTGAGGGAAGCCAGTGACGATGTCTACTGAAAAGATAATGAATCACCTTTCCATCATAATCTGGAATTTTCAGACTGTGTAAACAACAGTTGAAATTTCAGTTGGAACATACAATATATATTCCACTGACACCACAGCCTGGGCTCAGCAGTCACACTCCCATTGAAGTCAATGGCAAGATTTCTACTCCCTTCAGAGGTGACAGTCTACGACCCTATATATTAGAAGTCAGTACACTATTTAACATTCTTTTAAGCACAGACTTAAGATCTTAGGCCTCTAAGCAATCAGCTTTCTCCCACTGGATCTGTTTCTTTTTCTAATGCTTCCAATTCAGCTAATTGTATATATACACACATGGTGCTTTCACAGGCAGCAGTAGTGGTTTGGGGTTTCTTTTGCTTTGTTTTTTGTCGTTGTTGTTGGGTTTTTTGGGGTGTACTGTTGTAAATATAAGAGTTAGGGAGCTGAGCTGTCCTGACATGAAATGTTTTCTTTCCACTTCAGCAGTCTGTTTTGATGTGTTTTCAGAGTAAACAACAGTATTGCACAAGTTAACATCAAGAGTTTTCTGCTGCTGCTGCTTTCATAGCAGCTAGAACAAAAGTGCTCTCCAATTCATCCAAGTGAAGCCTACATAAATAAGTAATTGCAGTGTGCTTAAGAACTACTATAGTCAGCAATACTTGCTATCTGAACTACATTCCGTAGCAGTTAAGAATAAATCTGTATTACAAGGGTAAAAGAATCTGAATTTAAGTATTGTTTACAGAGACCATGGCAAGGATCTGAAAGCATTTGTGATAATTTACAACACATTTTGGTAAATGATCTAGTGCTGAAGATGGGCAATTCAATACAGGCCTCCTCTAGATGAAAATCTGTTTCTTATTCCTCATTCTATTTTTTGTTAGTGAACTTCTTGCTTGTGAAAACTGTGGATGGACTGACAGCTTGGAACACCACAGGGATTTGTTCCTATACCAAGCAAAGCATGGACGGGCAGCAACAGTGCAAATACCCTACATTTCCCTGTAGTGCTTCTGTTTATGTTTAAGAAATCTTTCTTCAGCAAGTTAATGTTAAAAGAAAGCCTTTTACAGCTATTTTTGTACTTTTTGTGCACTTTCCAAACAAGAAAGTACAATCTCCCCTTTACCTCTTTTTCATGATGGCCAAGGCCTTCCTCTGGATTTCTGAGGTTGAGGATGTGCACCTCCTGCGGCAGGCCCATTGTGCCTCTGCTTGCACAACCAGATAAGACGGTAAAGCTCTCCAGCAAGGCATGAACTGGGTGGGAACTGTTGACAGCCGATAACACACATTCACTCCTAGGCACAGGACCTGTAGAGGAAATCACAGATACACACCATTCAGAGGCACGAGCCAGAGTAAATGACATCTTTTAAACGAGAATTGTCTTTTTGACTACAAAACCAGTTGGAACACAGACAGAGGCTTCAATTAGTTATCTGCAATATATAACAGAAATAAACTTTTTTAGTTATAAATAATTTGTTTCAATTACTTTGCTTATTTACTTATTTTGTCATTCCTTTTTGGTGCTAGATCTTTAATTAATTTCTCTGACAATCCTCATTTGAATCATGTATTCCTCTCCTTCTCAAAATTGTAGGAAGTTCACCGTAGACCAAGAAAATAAGGAAGGAAATAAGGACTGAGAAAGAAAAGAATGAAAAATAAAAAATGGGGGGAGGGATTGGTTTGCCTGAGATGCAGATTATTTGTCTATGTGAAACATCTTTATGACAAAAACAGAAAACATAACTATGCAATCATATATATTCCTTTTTGAAGTAGAGCGGATATATAATGCAAACGTAGTTCAGGTGCCATGCCACATTACTGCAGACATTTATCACATGGCAAACTGAAATTTTGTTTGCCAAGTCTATTTTGAATTTGACAGTGATGATCTAAACTGATAACTGCTATCTAGTCCAAAACATAATCAATGTCCTTTCAAATAATCACTGCCATGCTCTTATGTTGTATTTGAGACAGTGTGATATGATATAGCAGGATAGCACGACAGTGAGTGTGTATGGAGTAGTTTACATATAAACTATATCTGCAGGAAACTAAAGCAAGACAAATATTTATGAAAAGCAGCCCTACTTTTCCAAAATGGTTCAAACACACCATTATAACAACAGATACAATATGTTTTTGATTACGAAGGTCACTGAATTAGGCCCAGATGCATGCCAGGTCAACTCAAAGATTATAGATAGAAAAGACTGGGCACAGGCTTGAAGAATTGTGATATCTCAGCCTGCTATACATTTGCTAGAGGAAAAAAAATGGTTTCCACTGAAGAAACTTTGAAATAAAAAAAATTTTTCCAACAGAAAACGTTTTGCAGATTTTTGTATATGGTTCATAAGCAGTTACATATCGCTAAAGATCATTAGACCCAAACTGTATAATCAGCAAGTATATATTTTTTTTAATTCTTGTTTTAGCATTGACCCATAGTTTGCTTCTTAAATAAAAATTACAGTCCACAACTGATCATTTGAGAGTTGAATAGTTTCTTTTAAAACAGACTTTTTCTAAAGAAAGCAAAGGTGTTGAGAACAATGAGATTTTTTGCAATGCCTTAGACCATACAGGTCCTGTCCTGTGAAAGGGGCTGTTTTTATTCTAAAACCCACTGGTGCATACTACAAGTCCTGCCAGCTCCCAGAGGACAGGCATATTTTTAAAGGCATTGCTTGAGGCATGATTTACACCTGCCCAGACATGGAGTGCAAAGGATGAGCAAACAGCACACTCTCAACATGAGAAGCTTGGCAACAGCACTGAATGAACACTGAAAGGGTGGGAGGACCTTGAATATTTTTTTAAGCAAGATTAAATGATACAGCCACATAAAATAAAAATACAGTCCTCAAGCAGTGATACTTTCTTTAAGTATAGAAAGCCTAATAAGAATGTTGTTTCTTTTATTGCTTTAAAAAAGTTGTTATTATCAGTAACAATAATACAAATTAGTATATTATTATTACTGTACAGGTATAATGATAGTGCCTTGGAGCCCCATTCATGGACCAGGACCAGATTGTACAAGGTGCTGTACAAACAGTGCAATGAGACAGTCCCCATCCCAATCAGCCCAACCAGCAGTGTATCAATCTTGCAGCTAAGTGAGTTATTATATGAGCTGCACAATAAATATTCCCAAATGCCATGCCAGATACTTGGGTAAGGGAATGAAAGAAGGACTAAGGAATGGTCATTCACTTGAGCTCCTTTTTGCTGGCCAATTTACTGAATGGATTTGGGGTCTGTCACCCAGCCTCTCTTGCTCTTCCAACTGCAGAAGCAATGCAACAGTAGAACAATTCATTCATAAGAAGAGGCTCAAGAAAAATACAGGCCAAGTCAGCAACCTCTACCTAAAGCACCATCAGGTGCTCATCTGAGCCAGCATTTGCATCAAGGGCAGGACAGGCTAAGTGAAGGGTGCACACCAAAAGGTCCATGGAGGTGGGGTGGGGCGGGGCGGGAAGAAGTGGCATTGATGAAGCAATGTTGACAAAAATGTGCACTTTTCTTAGTTGATCTTCCTCCAGAATGTTACTATCTGCTTTCCAACAGGATATTTCTGAGCCTCCTAATTAATTTCTAAAAATATCTTCCCTCCATCATACATCCTGGTCTTTACTTCTGTAACAACAACGTGCATTTGTTTTGGGTGCTACACCAAGCTTTCTAGTGCTTTTGGATTCTCAGGAACAGCAATTCCTTCTGATCTTGAAACACTGGAAATCACATGAACAGAGAACTGTGCAATGACTGGCGTGAGTCTGCATGTCTACAACCAATGTCCCATGGAAATCATTAAGGTTTTCATGTAGTTCCATATATTTTCACCAGGTCTGAATACAACCTGAAGCAATTCTTTCTAGCATTGCATATACATGGTGCCAATCCTCTTCTCATAAAAAAAAGTCCTGTTATCCCTGCAATCCTATCTATATAGGTTCTTATACTGCGTTCATCACCGTATCCAACATGTAGAATTTATAATGCTGGAAAACCAAACAGATTCAATACAAAAATAAAAAACTCTCTCTGTGATACCACTAATCATCTTATTTATCTTTCCCAGCACAGCCTGCTCATAGCTGAAGCCCTATATAAAACCACTGCCTCATCCTGCCTCAGCTTTACTTTCCTGTTGTTTAGCCATGCACAAGCTCTAGATCCACTTCTGCCAGCCTTCTCACTACATGCCCACATCCTGGCCTTCCCTTTTCTACTTCACTGTCATCAACTATGCTAAGACACCACCCACACTTGACATTATCAATGTTTAACAGAATACAGACTTACCCCTATTGAGACTATGTATTTTAAGTTGAACTTGTACTCACCCGTCTTGCTATTGTACTACATGTTCCATTTCTTTAACAGTTTTCTTATTTAAAAAAATCCCAGCTTGTATTGCAACTAAAGATTATTTAGTTAAGGTTTGTAAAGCCCTCTGAAGATGAAAACCAGGTAAAGTAATCTCATTATAACGGATATATACTCCTATGTAGCACAATATATTTCAGGGTTACAACTGTTAAAGAATTGTATTAAATGTTTTTTCCGCTTTCAAAAAATAGCAATTTTTTAAAAAGACCCTTGATATAGATCCAATTCTGTTTGATACTAACATCTGGAACTTATTCAACATAATTTAAGCACTCTGTTTCCCATATCACCCAAGCTCCTAATGAGTAACGTGTGTTCTGTTGTAATAAAAACTGGTAGAGATGGGGTGGGGGCAATATTATAACCCCAAACCAACTCATAACTATGGTGGATTTGATTCAAATAATAATATAGGCTAATATAGTTTCTGTTATATTTCCATAGGGACTTCTGCAGCTCTGTTAGCTGAAAAGTGTGACCAACTCCCGCAAACTGTGTGAATCTGAATGGCAGGCTCCAAAGCATGTTAACATTCTTCCATAGGAATCCCAAAAGGCCCTGCAGGAGCCTGCAAACTGCAACAGAATCCAACACTTCTTAGAGGAAAGCACAGATTTAGTCTAATTGATTTTCATATGAGGGAATGTTCCATATCTGGGCATTTTGCATAAAGGCAAAAGTTTAAACACATCTGGAAACAGCAAAGTCCAGAAACACCAGGGATCTCTGAGCTGTTAATTTTGAAGTAATGTAAATTACTATAGACCAGCTCTGTAGGCCTTTGGGACTCTAGCTAGACGTCACCACTTTTAATATCTAGACTCCATATACTTTTGCTGGTAAATCTATCCCAAATGGGGCTAAATGTCCAAACAGGAACCAAATATGCCCAGGTGACAAACTTGTACAAAGGAGTGGCTTTGGTGTGTGTGGTAATTTAGTGGCACTTTTTATTGGTCTGTAGCATGATGAATGGAACTAGACAAAGAGGGTCAGATTTCAGGAGACCTAGTTTGATGTGTCACTAGCGGGCTGAGGAATGCAAGCAGAGGCCAAGCTGCTATCTCCTCTTCTATAGAGCCTCAGCATGAAACACTGACCACTCTACATACTCAGAAAAGATCTCTTTCATATACTTCCGCTGCACCACTTATTACTAATGAAAAATAGCCAATGCAGGGGGCGGAGACAGAGACACACCATTCCACAGATAGCTCAGGGAGGGATTGTATTCTCCTATATGCTCTCCTTTGATCAAGGACTCTTTACTGAAAAAGCACATTTATCTGAGCATTTACACTGTACTAATATGCCAGGGAGAGATCCAACGCAAAGAAACTGGTAAAGGCCTCAGTACTTCAACTCTTTCAAAGAGAAAATACTAAACTTCCACTTGCCTTTCTTGTATGTAAACTAGTCCATGCTATGAATAGACCACCCTATGTGACCCATCCTGAGAAACTACAGCCTTTGGATTGCTTTGCTTATGCTACATCAAAATTACACACAACAAATTTTAAAGAAATGTCACTAAACTGATAACCAAGTGAGAAAAAGCAAGTAGTAAAGTGTGGGAGCAAAGGGAAAACAGGGATATCTAGGTGAGGTAAGGGGATAAAAAAACCATCCAATATCCCCTAGAACCCAGAATTTCTCTTGGGAACCCAACATCTAAAATCACTCAACCTCAACAAGGAAAGAAAAGCGTTAAAGAATTAGTAACAATAAGAAAGAAAAAGAGAGAAAAAAGGAACCTTCACTCAAATAAAAAAATTATACTGAATTTAAGAGAACTATTCCCATATGGCACTTCTTAGAAGGAACCCAGTACTGTAATACAAATATGACTTACTATCAGGATAAATTAGATTTCTTTGAAGATTTATGGATTTTCT